CTCGAGCAAACAGCGCGTCTCCCCTCGGCTTGGCTGAGTTTGCTTCTCGCTCTGTTTTCCCCTCCTGCTGGTTTGGAGGTCACTGAGGCTATTTCCGGTCTTTCTGAGAGCGCCCTAGACAGTCTCGTGTGTGTGTGTGTGTGTGTGTGTGTGTGTGTGTGGTCTAAGTGTCTGGAGTTACTCAGAGCCGCCACCCTCCGGAACGGGCAGGAACCCTGGGGCACTGTCACTCCGAAGCCGCGTGTCTGGCACGTGTGCGGCTCTGTCCGGTTACCTCAGGGCCGGGTCCTCTGTCTGTTTAACCCTGCACATCGGCTGGTGCTGGTGCTGCCCGCGGCGGTTGCTGGCTGTGACCTCGCACCACCTGTCCCTGCTCCCAGCGGCCGTGAGTCGGCCACAGGGCTCCCTTCCTTCACTCCTGCCTTCCTGAGGTCGCGCCCTCCTTCCCCCGGGGCACCCCTTACAAACCCTGTGAGTAGAGCCTGCCCTCAGCTCTGGTTCACCCGAAATGCACCTTCACCCCAATTCTGGAGGGGTTTCCTGGGGACGACGAAGCCCCGCCCCGCTGGAGCCCGTCTTCTGGCTCCAGGCGCTGTGGGGCGGCCGCTTGCCGTCCAGCCGCTGCGCCCTCCAGCCCCACCTGGCGCCTGTGGCGCCGCTCCCTTGTTCTCCCCAGGGTTTAAATTCTAGTAAAATACCCACAGTGTGAAAGCTGCCATCTTAACCGTTCTGAGCACACAGTTCAGTGGTGTTAAGCACAGTCCCAGGGCTGCACAGCTGCCGCCACCATCCACCTCCAGGACCCTCTCCTCGCCCCTAAGGGAAGCCCTGTTCCCTGAACGGGGGCACTCACCCCCACGCCCTCCCCTTCCCCCAGCCCCCCGCGTGAGGGGTCATAAAGAACAGGTCCTTCTCAGCATCATGTCCTCAGGACGCTTCCCCGTGCCGGCCCGTGTCCGGACGCCCTTCCTACCTAAGGCAGAGCGGTACCCTGGCATGTGGACGGGCCACGCTAGGTTTACCCAGTCGTCTGCCCGTGGCCACTGGGCGGCTTCCACACTTTGGCTGCTGTGAACATGAGTGCGCAAATACCTCCTCGAGACCCGTTTTCACCTCTTTTGTGTGTGGCTCGGAGTGGGATCGCTGGAGCACACGGTGAGTCTCTTTTTAAACTTTCCTTTGAGGGGGAGGTAGTTAGGTCGGTTGGTTTGTTTTCCGTGGAGGCACCGAGGATTAAACCCAGGGCCTCGTGCATGCTGAGCACGCGCTCTACCGCTGAGCGATATCCCCACCCTTTTTTTTAAGCTTTTGAGGAACCCCCACACTGTCCTCCCTGGCTCACGGTCCCTTTTACGTTCCCACCAGCGTGCACGAGGGTTCCCGTTTGTTCACGTCCTCACCGGCACTTGGTATTTTGGTTTTGACAGTGGCCATCCCAGTGGGTGTGAGGGGTCACTTCTCTGGGCCCCCCACCCACTGCCCTAACACCCTGGGACTTGAGCTCCATTCTCCACATGGACAGAGGTGTGAGCGAGTGCCCCGACCCAGTGGTCGGTTCTCTGTGCCAGAGCTGGGCTCCGCCCAGCAGAGGGGCTGAGAGGCCAGGGGAGCCCCGGGCCATGGAGGGCGGTTCTCTGGTGGGAGACAGGTGACGCCCTGCCTTTGCACGGGCGGTCTCCTCCTGGGCGGCTCTTCCCCTCTGGACACACAAGTCCTCCTCAGTGCCTGCCGCTCTCCCTGGTCCCCAGCATTGCCCTGTCTCCATCCCATCCCTCTCGATGGTCACACACCCCTGGGGGCAGAGTGTGAGGGGACCTAAACCCAGGTGGAGGCCCTCGTGAGGCCTGTGAGCTCCCAGCCGTCAGAGAGGCTCTGGTTCTCTCCCTGCTCCCCGTCGCCCCCCACCAGCACCACCCCCACCTCACAGCGCACCTACTGGACTCTGAGTGTGGCTCCGTCACAGGCCGCCTGCTCGGGGCCACACAGCCACACCAAGCCTCCAGTCCCCACCTCTCCAAGCCCCCCGGTGACCAGCCCTGGGCGGACAGGTGAGAGCCCCTGCACCCACCAACAGTGCACACAGAGGACCCTGATTCCTGGGGAAAGAGCCCCTGAGTAGGGATGGATGAGTCCCCAGAGAAGGGGAGAGTCTCTGCAGGGTACCTGGGCCTTGGCAGACAGAGGCCCAGATGGACCCCAGAGCCTGGGACTGCCCCTCAGCCCTGCTGCTGGTGTTCGCTAGCACTTCAAGAGAATAAAGAAATGGGAGCTGCCTGCGTCTTGGCGGAGGGCCTCCAGCTTTGCTGTTTCCGAGTTTATTTTGATAAATCTAGTTTTGCATGTGAACTTCTGCATTAATTGCCCCTGTTACGAAACAAAGTGCATTGTAGCAAAACTCTCACCGGCTCCCTGCTGAGTGTTTGAAGCCAAAGGAGGCATGGGGGGGTGGGTCTCACCTGGCATGTTTTCCAGCTCAGTCTCCTGGCGGCGCTGCAGTACATGCCACATGCCTGTCGAGAGGTTTACTCCAGGAGTTTTAAAGTGACCTAGAGAGAGAGTAGGTTGAAATCGCTTTAGGGAAATCAGATTAAATTACAAATTAAGTCATTTGATGAATGGTTAGTTAAAATTTGCTACATGCCAAGTCTTGTATTTATCCTGTGGGATACAACAGCAGATCCTTGATATGTAAAGAGCTCCTACAAGCCAACAAAAATAGAAGGGTCAAAGCCAATCAGCAGATCATTTGCAGAAGAAGTAAAAATAGCTCCTAAAATTTCAAAAAATGCTCAACTCCGCTTATGTAGTTAAAGAAACAGAAACATTCATATAGTAGTCTTTTTCTCGCCTACCAGGTTGGCAAAAATGAAAAACTTTAATTCTTAGTGTTGGCGAGACAATGGAGACGTGGGTACCTTTTACTGTGTTCATGGGAGCACAAACTGGCACAAATGTTTTGGAGCACAATTTTGCAACGTGGCTTAAAAAATCTTCAACATGCTTAACTTTGGATCTGGTAAAATCCTTTCTAGGAGTTCTTCTTGGTGAAGTAATTATCTGAGATCCAAAGTGCATAGACATCACCCATGTGAAAGGGACCAGGACCCCGGGACAGTGATCACGGTGGCCTCAGTGCACAGAGGTAGGCGGGCACAGCGGATGCTGGCGGTGGGGGGGGTGGAATTCCGGGCACCCTGTCTCTCAGCTGCCCTCTCTAACCAGAGGTGCCCCTGAGGTAAGCTCCGTTCTACCAGCCAGATAGGGTCTGGGGGAGGCAAGCGCTCTAACTTTTTCCTCAGGGAGCTGGGCTAGAGAGGTGTCACCACCTGTGCCCCAGTCCCCCCCACCTGGAGCCAGGCCCAGCCCCCACCCCAAGCCACCTGCCAGGTGGAGACCCCACCCCACGGGGAGCCAGCGCTGCAGCCACCCCTCCCCGCCCCCAGCGGCGGCTGCACTGCGGGTAGATTCCCCTCAGGCCCTCCTTTGGCAAGTGCACTTTAGCAGCCGGAAATAACAGAGAGCCAGATGTTTACGTGAAACTACAGAGAGTTCACTGAAACTTAGAATTTGTAAGTAAGACCTCAAAACTAGAGGTGAAGATAAGATGCTGAGGCAAGAAAGAATCAAGAAAGGTATCTCCCAAGCATTTTGAAAATGACCTTTTGAAAACTTTTGAAACTGACATCTCCTGACTGCCAGCACGGGTGGGCCTGGAGGGTCACTAGGACCCCCCGCCCACCCTTGCCCCCGGGGCTCATCCAGCACCCCCGCAAGGTGGGGAGGGGTCCACTCCTGCAGATACTCTGGCTGAGGTCTACACCTGGCCTGGGAGGACCCTGCGCGGAACTCTGCCTTCCAACGAGATGGTCCAAGGCTCTGAGGGCTGTCACCTGGGGGGGGCCGTCAGCTCCGGGGGTGAGGGAGGGATAAGCCTGAGGAAGGGGGCGTCCAGAGGGTCTCCAACCGTGAGGGTGGCCCACATGAGCTGTGAGGACACCAGCCCAGCTGGGAGCAGTCCAGAGGCCCCGAGCCCCAGGAGCGGGGGGCGGGCACCACCGGCCTCACCCTGGGCCCGACTCCTTCCCCAGAACCGTGACTCTGAAAGCTGGAGGACAGCCCCTTCCCCAGGGGCTGCGCGGCACCCTCCTCCCTGATGAAGCTGGGAGCAGAGCGGGGCCCATGTTTCTAGAAGCCACTTCTGCAAAAGCGGGAGGAAGTGGCCCAACCGACAGTGTGCATCCCTCGGGCTGAGGCCCGTGGGCAGAGCAGCGGTGGGCGAAGCAGACCCCGGGGCCTGCACTTCATCCGTCCGAGGGCACCGGCTGGCCCTCTGCTTGCCCCCCTGCCCCGTGCAGCCAGTGCAGAACAAAGCTTGATGTCCAGATCCAGGGCCACGTCCCTGGATGGATGGCCAACAGTCCACCTGGATGGATGAGATGGGGGCTGGAAGGGACCACATCGAAGAAACGGCGGCCCCGGCACAAGGCCCAGGCCGGAGCAACCAGGTGGTGGGAAGGCCCGGGAGAGGGGAGCGTTTCCCCACGCCCAGTGCGCAGTCTTCGCCACCTCTCTCGCCCCTCCCCCATGCCGACAGGCCTGGGCACCTACCGCTCCACCCACTCCCCGGCCCAGCCCCTGGCCTCGGGGCCGTCTGCTCCCCAGAGCTCATCCCGTCTTCAGGCTTCGTCCCGGCTGGTCCTGCCCTATGGAAGCACGGCTGCAGGTCTCAGCCCCAGGCCCGCTCCCAGGGTCTTCGTGGCTCCAGTGACACGGACACTTCCTGCTTGCTCCCCTGTCCTTGCTCCCTGTGTGTCCTCCTGACCCATGAGCTGAGCAACCCAGCGTCAGTGGGTCTTGTGTCGTCCTTGGTTGACAGCTGGGACACCTGGCAGCCGCGCCCTAGGTGTGGAGCAGGAGCCTGGCCGGGGTAGCAGCGGACTGTCCCCTCTCGGCGTCCCCCCTCCACCAGCCCCAGAGCGCCCAAAGCCCATCCCCGCTGGCAGCTGGGGCTCTTGCCGGCCTGGGTCCAGTGGGCCTGGGTCCTTGTCCTCTCTGCCTGCCTACACACAGTAACCTGCTCTTTCCTCACCTGTCCCACGTCCCCACCTGCCTTTGGGCAGTCTCAGCTCTGGGGCAGGTGGAGGGACAGACCCCACACGAGGCCTCGGGGAGGACAGCCCGCCACGCCCACAGCGCCAGCCTGGGCCTGGTGGGCTCGGGGTCTCTGTCCCTGACCTGGGCTCTGGGGCAGGCACAGGCCGTGGAATGAAGCCTGAAGCCCCTTCCCTCCCCGGGCCTGGGCTCCGGCGGCCCCAGCCCCAGCCCCTGCCAGCCCTGGGCCCCACCCTGGTGCCTCTACAAGCCCTAAGGCCTTCAACCCAAACCTTCCTCCCCGCAGGGCCAGCCCTGCCCCCTCAGCAGCTTCCAGGTGCCGCCCCACTCCTGCCCCCGCACGCTCACCTGCGGCCTGTCTGCTCGTTACTTTTAACGAAAGAAGATTCACCCACAGAGGTCTGGGGGCATCACTCTGGCTTACACAGGGGACAACTTGAATTTGATGCTAGAACAGCCTGTGTGTGGCCCAAACATACCTTGTCCATCTGCTTTAATTATTAAAGAAAAGGGCGCGCTGACCAGAAGCAGAGAACGTCCGAGCGGAAGCGCCTCCCGCCCTGGGACGCCCGCGCTGGCCCTTCTTCCGTGACGACCCCCTCCCGGGGGCCGGGCCGGGCTGACTCCCTGTGTTCCTGCTGGTCTGGTTTTATCAGCACCTTGTGGGAATGTATCCCTGACTTCTTTAATGTTCGTGTTCTGACAAGATACAAACTGTGCTGGAAACCCTGCGTCTCCAGAGCAGGTCCCATCATCTGAGAGCTGTCTCCTGGGCTCTAGTCCCCAGTTTGGCTCAAATAAAACTCTTCTCTTCCTACTAGAGATTGTTCATTGATTACTTCCACTGACCCTTTCAATCCATTGTTATGTAAATAAGCCCGTTTTCCGGACAGGAGCTCCGGTGGACACTCACAGGACAGGGTGGAGTGACCTGGCCCCCAGTGCTCTCCCCAGGTGCTCCAGGCCCTGTGACTGCCGTGTGTCCCTCCCGGCATTTAAAATACACTTGCAACCGTTTCACAGTGGGCCATTGCAAACAGGCACAGAGGCGCAGAGGAGAAGCCCGTCCAGCACTGCCCTCCTGGTTTCGCTTGCTGGTTCTAAGGAGCGGCTCCCCAGGACGCCTGGAATCTGGCTCTCATCTTGTGGATTTGCTGTAACATCTTTAACCATTTCAATACTGCCGGCCTTTGGGGCTCTTTCCAATCTCTCGCTCCCTCCTCCTCACACCCAGACCTTGGGCCTCATTTCTGTACTTGTGCATCGGTTAAACTTTGGGGAGGGAACTGCTGAGTTCCTACCTGTGCTCTGAGGCAGCTGGACTGGGGCCTCTGTTTCGCCAGCACAGGGGGACCGGACCCATCCTCACTCCTCCCACCACCGGTTAAAACACACCTGCATTTCCTTGAGTGCTAATGAGGTTGAACTCCCTCCCCAAACACACATCTGCTGTCCCACCTCTGTCCTCCCCGCTCCGCCTGGCGGGTCCTCTGACATCACTTGTCACTGTCCAGGCAGAGGGACACCCGGAAGAACCACCCTTCCCACTGCCCATTCTCCGTGGCCAGCCCCTGCCCGCCGCTCTCCGCGGACACTGATGGGACACTCCACTGTGCCCCAGGACTGTGCCCTGTGACCGGGCTGGCCGCCCACCCCTCAGAGACCCCGCTGTCCTGCTGGCTTGACTCCTGCCCACGTGACCGGGCCCAGGCAGCCCCTGGAGGCCGGGGTGAGAGGCCCCTTACACCCGACCCCGCCAGACGCCTGCGATTCAGCAGCAAGCACATGGCACCAGCCCAGGAAGCTCCGGAGTTTCTGGACCAGGGCGAGGAGACGGTCCCTGGACAAGCCAGCCCCCAGCTCCCGCCTCCCGCCCCAGCCAGCCGTCCGGTGGGGACCGTGCTGGAGGAAATCTCAGGGCGGGCAGAGGCGCCAAAGCTACAACAGGGGGCTGCCCCTCCCCCAGTTCCCCCCACCACCACGTTTGTGGTCAGTGGTGCCCTGGGGTCTCTCTGGGTGAAGGATCCCAGGTTAAGACCCTCAACCAAGCCCCCACCTTTACACCAACGAATCGCCTCTGCTCTCAGGACCCACCCCCCGGCCCTGACTGCTCCCAGCACATGGGCCCTGGACTCACTCTGAGCTCATCCTGACAGCCGGCCTCACATTCTGTAGACGCAGCTGAGAGCTTTCAGGAAGTAGCCAGGGTCCAAGTGTGTTCTCTCTGAAACTCCCCTAACCGCAAACAGAGCGAGACCTGGGATTGGCCAACCCGGCTCGGTTGTCATCCTGCTGGTGGTGAGACAGCGGCCTCACCACTTTCCTGGGTGGCAGATGGCAGAAAGCGAGGCCCATCCCATTTCTCCTCATGGTTCTGACGACACCCAGACCTGCGTTCGCTCTGGGCCTTCCTAGGCGGCTTGGACCTGGGACCAGCTCACATAAGCTACTGGCGCCTGGGGTCCCCAGACAAATGGGGCTGGACACAGAGGCTGGTGTGGCCCCTCGCTGGTGAGGCAGGCACAGAGCAGAGCAGCCTCCAAGAGCCTAGCCCTCCCAGGGACACCCATGGGACTGCAGCACAGAACAGCCCGCCACGGCCCCAGGACAGCGCCTGCCCCCAGCACCCAGCCATTTCACACGGAGCCCAGCCTCCTTTCCGTCTGGGGGTGGTGCCTGGTGGGGGAAAGGCCCAACACGCCCACCCTTGGCGCTGTCTCTGAGTCCCCAGAGCCAACGCCAGCCAGGCCAGGTGGCTCTGTGGGTGGGTTTCCACGTGAAGGGCCACGTGGGGTCCCCTGGGACACAGTGTCCATGCTGGCTAGCAGGGCTGTGTCTCTTTCTCTCTCTCTCTGGCTTGCAAGACCCCAGACAAAAGTTCACGGCCAGTGTCCTCAGAAGACGCTGGGGGCTTGCATGTGACCCACGGCCTTGCCTGCCCACCTTGGGCCCAACAGGCTGGTTCTGGGTTCCGGGGTTAGGCAGAGCACTGTGGGCCCTCCGTGTGTCCGCCACTGAGGTCCTGGCTTTTCAGCCCAGGGCAAGGCTAGACCCCCTGACATCTGGGGGCCCTCTGTGCCCAGCACCACAGCAGGGGAAGTAGGCGCCTGGTGCGTCCACAGCTGGGGGAGCCCGGGGTGGGCGGGCCCCACTCTGCACTGTCTGTCGGGACGTGGGTGTGACCCAGGGCTCCCTCTGGGCTCCACCCTGCACAGCAATTTCTCAGTGTGGAGGGGGCTCAGAGCACCTGGAGTGCCATGTGGGGAGAGGGCCTGTGCACAGGGCTCCCCTCAGCCTTCCTGAGACACCTGCCCAGGGCCTGAGGCATCCATCACAGGCCACTGCCAAGGGCAGCGCAGCCTCCCAGGGCTCAGGAGCAGGGCAGCCCCTCCCAAATGAGCCATAGCAGGTGGAGCCGAGGCTCTGAGGGGGCAGGGCAGCTTCGGGGTCCAAGAGAGTGGGGTCCTCGGCAGGGGCCAGGCCACGTCGGCCAGCAGGCCAGGCACCCCAGAGATAACGAGGGACGGCTGTCACTCCATCGGTGGCACCCCCCGGACCTGCTCCCTCTGAACCTCCGCTGAGGGGTCTGCGCTTTCTCGGGCTCCCCCACACCCAGCTGACGGGCTCCGGCGTGGAGCAGGGGCCGCTGTCACCCTCTGCGCACTGGCTGTTGGGTCAGGGATGGCAGCGGACTTGACTTAGGTCAGCTGAATCCACTCCCCAGGCTCTCAAGGGGGTCTGGGAGGGTAACTGTGCCCACCGCAGCCCCTGCCCATGCACAGTTCCTGACCAGCAAGGCAGGTGTGAGGGAAGACGTCTGGGAGGGGCTGGGTGCATTCCCTGAAGGCTGAGTGTCTTCCAGGCAGGAGGAAGGGGACTCCGTGGCCCCCTTTGATAATGCCCCCAGGGGACGCTTTCCCCAAGAAGTTCCGTGGTCCTGACTTCCACCCGCCAGGTTCCTGTGAAACCCGGAAGGGTTTCCTCATTTATCTCATCTGCAGTATCATTTTCATCATCTCGGGGAAATTATCCACCATGCTAAGTAGGTCATGTGGTCACAGATTCCAGCCTGAGAAATTACACAAGAGGGGCAGTGGGTATGCTCTCGGGCACCTGCCCGGCCGACGTGCTCACCTGGGCAGCAGGTGTCCGCCCTCCCCACGGCTCCCGGAGAAGAGGAGGGCCGTCACCCAGCCCGAATCCCCCGCTCGGTTCAACGAGCGGGAAGACGTCCTCAGGCGGGCTTCACGGGAACCGCGGGCCACGCTGGGCGCCGCCCCGTGACTCGCGCGCAGGGGCTTCCGTGTCCACCTCCAAAGCCGAGTGCGCGCCCTGCACGCCCCAGAGCCACCCCTCCCCCGCCACCTGAAAGCTAGCCCAGCGCCTGCCACCCCGCTCGTCCCCAGGTGGTTTCAAACCGGGGCCCACGCAAGGACGGAACACTGCAGTGGACGTCACGTCTCTGGGTTTCCCTCCCTGGGAAGCAAGCCCCCACCCCCGGAAGCCACCATATTTACATTTCGAAGTGACCTGGCTGGTTGCCTCATAAAAGTCAGGATTTGCTTGATTGGATCCTCCCGACCTCATGTAACCTGTTCCTCCATCACCTGTGGTTCCCCGTAACCAGGAAGTGATCCCAAAGCCCTGACAAGTCATAACAGCACAGCAGGCAGCTCACGGTGACAAGGCCTCTCCTCTGAAAGTGCAAGTCACAGGTGGACTCAGTCCCGCACCCCGGGCCCTGGTCCCGGGGCCACACCTTCCACCCCCTATCTGGGGGCAGCCACTGTGCTTTGTCAGCTGAGTGGTGACTTTCCAGTAAAGTGATGTTTCCACCTGTGTCCCCAGGCAGGCCAGGTCACCTCTGGCGGCAGCCAGGGCCTTAGATTCATTCTTTCTCTCCCCAAGTGTCATTAAGGACTCAGAGACTTTTATTGTGGTAAATTATAAAATTTGCCATTTTAACCATTTTTAAGTACACAGCTCAGTGACAGTAAGTACACCCACACTGTGTGCCCATCACCACCACCCACCTCCAGAACTTTTTCCTCTCCCCAAACTGAAACTCTGTCCCCATTAAACACCGACTCCCCCTCCCTCCCCAGGCCTTGGCGCCCACCCCCCACTCTGTGTCTGTGAAACTGCACCAGGAACCCCGTGTGGGCCCCCTCCCCCCAGGCCTTGGCGCCCACCCCCCACCCCGTGTCTGTGAAACTGCACCAGGAACCCCGTGTGAGCAGAACAGTACACTACGCCCTTTTGTGACTGTCTTGTCTCGCTCAGCGCAGCGTCCTCCAGGTCCGCCCAGGTTGGCGCAGGTGTCAGGACTTCACTCCTCCTTACGGCGGAATCATACTCCGTCGTGTGGGTGGGCCACCTCTTCACCCATTCACCCATCGATGGACACCTGGGCTGCTCCCCGCTTTGGCTGCTGTGAACACCCGTGACCAGGACCCGAGGACCTTCTCATCTCTGATGTGTTTCCGTCAACCACAATCATGACTGCTGAGGCTACTCAAATTGTCCCGGGTTTGACAAAGCGTTTCCCCACCTCTGTGGGGATGATTATACAGCCCACCTCTTTAGATTTGTTTTTTGGGGAGGGGGCAATTAGGTTTATTCATTTATTTATTTTAATGGCGGGGCCGGGGATTGAACCCAGGACCTTGTGTGTGCTAAGCACGTGCTCTACCCGAGCTCTACCCTCCCCACTAGATTTGTCATTACGGTAATTTCCGCCCATCGATCTCCAAACACCATGTGCCTGGAGAGAGCCCTGCTTCGTCGCACGTGTGTGTCAGTCTGCTCCCACGACGCCAAGTGCCATTGCCTTGCAATGATAGTTTTTCCGCCTCCAGTAAGTCTTCCAAGCTTTCCTGACTGCCAGCCTCTGCCCCTCTCCCAGGGAGCAGGCTCCAGCCCCGCCTCCCCCACCTTGGGGCCTTAGTGATGCTGACTCAGGGGCTGGGGGAGGGGACGGGGCCTCTGGGGGTTTTCATGGGACTCAGTACCCGCCTCTGAGGGCGGGAGTTCCCCAGACACCAGCTGGGGAAGGGGCTTTCAGGGCAGTTTCGGAGAGAGCTTCCCTGAGAAAGAAGAGGCTGGGAAAGGAAAGGGGCTTTTGAGAAGCCATCGCCCCAAGAGCGTGGTGATTCTGAAACTTGTTACCAGCCCATGTTCCTCTGACCAGGGCACTCTAAGTATGAGTCACTGGTCACAGCTTCAACAAAGTTATAGTGTGTCTTAGTTCAGCCCAGGACAGGCTGCCCATCCGTCACCTCCGAGTTCCCAGATAACTGTGCTGAACACACAGGGACATTCTCTCTCGGGGCTGGCCTTGGCCTTCCTGCTTGCCTCCTGGTCTCTTGGTGAGCTCCAGCCTTCACACCTGCATTCCAGGTGTCGGGAAGTAAGACGGTAGAGGATGGTGCAGACCTTCCTCTTTGAGGAGGTGTTCCAGGATCCTCACTCAGTACTTCTGGTCCTGTCTCCTTGGGTATGCTGTCCTGTGGCCACCCCTGGCTGCAGGGGGGCTGGGACATGCGGTCACTGTGCCTGCTGATGCTGCGGGCTGTTCCTAAGCAAGGAGGAGCACTTGGATATGGGAGGTGTGGCCTCGGGCACACACTGTCACCAGTGTTCCCCCAACCTGGTAAGAGCGGGTCCCAGGCAGGTGGGTGGGTGCACACTGGCCAGGCCCCAGGATGAAACTGCCCCCAGGTGAGAAAAGGGTCCAGAGCAGGGTTGATCGGGGGGGGGGGACCTGGGGGAGGGGGTCTGGGGGAGAGACAAAGAGGGGAGACAGAGGGAGAGGCCCCGGGGACAGGTTGGGTCAGCTCCTGCAAAGGCGGCTCTCTCCCCACAGGAGCCCCAGGGAGCAGGATCCGCATGGAGAACCAAAACCATCAACCCATATGGCTCTGTTCCACCAGCATTAGCAGGATTTGCTACACCCCTGTCCCCACCAACAGAGCATCACTCCTCCCAAGGACACTAAATAGATGCCAAATACCCTTATCTTTTGTTCCAGAATTTCCAGAAAGACCCACCAACTCTTCAACTGGAAGCGTCAGGTGACACTTCGGGTGATATTTTGGGGACCTACCTTCAGCAGTCTGTTGGGGGCACCAGAGGTTTCCAGACACAGCACGGGGTCACCATCACACCGAATCTGGCTCACCTGACAGGCCCTCACCTCTGCCTGCCTGTCTGTCTGTCTTCCTGTCCCTCTAGTCCCAAGCCCTGGGGGTGGCGGGTCTGCATCCCACTGTCCTTGGTGTCCCCGGGCCTCCTGTCCCCTGCACATATACCCCATGAGTGGAAACTGCTCACAGAAGGCCACACTCACATCCAGCCCCCAGGGCAGTACAAACCACTCTCGGGAGGGCGAGAAGGGAAACTGGAACTTGGATTATGCTGTGTTTGGAAAGTAGCAAGAAGCTTCCTCTCGCCACACAGCGAGCCCAGCCTGGGGGGTGACACAGCTGATGCGACACCGGACAGCAAAGCCTCAGAAGAAAGCAGAAAGGACCTGCACGTCCTGCGTGGCTGTCCCTGGGGCAGGACAGGTGGGGCCGCAGCCACTCCTCCGGGACAGGACCAAAGGTGGCTTCAGGTAGGCCCACGCCCCGAGTGACACAGCAAAATCAGGACGTTCGTAGAAGAAGGCGCAGGATTATTTCTTGGCAGCCTGAAAGGAGAAGGACTTAAAACATCTCCAGAAGCATCACAGGAGGGCAAGAAGAAGGGGAACCTGATGATGTCGACGTGAGGACTGCTGCTGGCCACGGATGCCGGGACCGAGCCAGCACGTGAAGGCAGAACAGGAGAACACAGGCGCCAGGTCTAAAGCTGACAAGAATTAATACTGCAGGCACACAAAGAACGTCTGCACGTGGAGAAGGGCAGCTGAGCAGAGATGCTCAGAGAAGCATTAGCACCCCTGCGGACGGACGCACGGCCCGCAGACCACGCCCATCCAGGGCTCACCCATTTGCCCCCCGCATCTCCTCCCGCCCCGGGGCTCTCCCTGCCGCCCCGGGGAGGGAGCCCCTGCAGACAGACACCAGGCAGCACGACCGTCCAGGAGCCGGGAAGGCCCCAGGTGAGCCAGCCTCCCTCTGGGACAGGCCTGGGCACACACAACAGGAGGCTGTTTTATTAAGCACCTGCTGTGTGCCAGTCCCCAAACAGGAAGAGTTACTCTCTCCCACCCCCAGATGAGGGACCCCTGCCCTCCCTCAGCCCCCCTGCCCTTCCAGAGCATTGCCCCCAGACCCCTGCCCCGACCCCGCAGCTCCTCCCAGGAGTGTGGCCCTCGGGCCCTTGTGGTCCAGTCTCAGCAGCTTTCAGGAACCAACTGTTTTGCCCTAAGGGTCCCATGACACAGGGAGAGTCCCAAAGACCAGGCCCCCCTAGACATCCCCCCGCAGAAGAGCAGGCACAACTTCTGCCCTCCCCTGGCCACTTTGGGAAGCTTGGTCCAGCCCCCAGAAAGACCCAAGACGGAGCCCGGAGGCCTGGGTCGGGTGGCTGCCTTCTCTGCCAGTCCGTCTCCTGATCTCACGCGGTCAATGGACGACAGTAGGTCTGGAATGAAAGCAGAACCCTTCCCCCTGGTCACCCCGCTCTGGGACCCCCACGGCCTCACTTCCCCGCAGTGCAGCCCAGGGCAGGCCAGGACCTCCCGCAGGGGTCCCCACCCAGGACAGTTTTGCCCCCAGGGGACACTGAGCCTTTCTGGAGACACAACTGGGTGGGGGTGCTGCCAGCTCAAGTCGGGGGGGGGCGGGGTGTGGTGGCAAGGGATGTTGCTCAGGCCAGCCCTTCCTCCACCACAAAGAATTTTAGGTCCCCAAATGCCAAGAGCTGGGGTAGGGAGCCTGCATGGCCTATAGGTAGGTTTAAAACAGGCCCAGTTTTAGGAATTGCTCTGAGGAGGGTGGGCGGGGACACAGGCTGCCTACCAGCCCTGCCAAGAGGGACTGCCCCAACCCACTACCATCCCAGGCCCCACAGAAGCCCCAAGCTGTGGGGCACCACGGCGGGTGGGCGGGCAGGTGAGAGTGGGCCTGGAGGTCTGTGGCAGCCCACAGGGTCTGGGCTACTGTGCCCTCCCCAACCTGTCACCCTGCACCACCAAGTAAAAAGCAGAAGTGCCCCAGGGCGGAAAACCACCAGGGTGGGACTGTCGAGGGTGCTGGGGTGAGGCGCCCCTCGCTCCCCACCCCCCCCACCCGCACCACACAACCCCCGCCTCCCCAGACAGACGCGGCAGAGACAGCCAGCCGTGTGGGGAACACCTAGGCTGATGTCGGGCCGCAGCTCACGCCGGAAGCAGCCGGTTTCCTCTGCAGGGAGCTGGGCTCCAGCCAGCCTCAGCTTAGAGCAGTTCGGGTATCACCCAGGATGGCAGCTCCCAGGCTGCTGGGCAGAGAGGGGACCAGGGCGGATGGACAAACCCACTGGGTCTGGCCATCAGCTCATCCCAGAGAGCATTTACTGGGCACCTGTGTGTGCACTGCCCTGGGCGGGTCCTGGAGGGTGGGGGATCTCAGCCCTCCAGGGGCAGACAGCCCAGGGAGGGGGCCCTCAGGTCAGGGACAAGTGCTGCAGCACCCTGTGGATCACAGTCCTGGTGTGTGGTCAGAAGCACTGCAGTGGGACCTGGGGTTAGTGCAAGGCAGCGGGTGCAGGGGCCAGGCCTGAGCTGGTCTCCCAGGGTGATCACATGGGAGGCTGTGCTCAGGGCTGGAAGAGTCCAGGCAGAAGAGGAGGGCAGAGCGAAAGGGGGTGGTGTGTGTGTGTGTGGCCACCTCTTCCACTGGGATCCCATGGGCTCCTCCCACCTCACAGAGAATCCAGGTCGGAGGTGGAGCTGCCGCCACTCCCTGCCTTTCACCTCCAGGTCCCCGCCCTTGGTCCGTCACCTGCCAGGGCTGAGGGGGACCCACACCCACCTGGACAGGCCTCCTCCACCCCACCCCCACCAGTATCCTGTCAACTCCCTCACCCGCCTGCCACAGCCAGGCTCCCCCATTTGCTCACATGCCAACGAACCCGGTGCAGAGACGGAGGCACGCACCCACACGCGCACACACTCCCACATGCAGACACTCAGGAACGCTGCTGGGGGCCCAGGGAGGCAGGAGGAGGGCCAGCAGGGCTGGGGACTTGGGCCCAGTTGTGTCCTGCGTGGCCAGGCGGGCTGCCCGGGTTCTCTGGGCTTGGCTCCCTGGGGCAAAGGCGGGGCCCCAGGATGTGAGCTGCACCTGCAGCCGCCCCTTTGTCCCTGTCCCCCGCTTTAGCCTCTGACGGCCAGGCTGGGGTAGATGGGGAGGTCCCAAGGTAGCATGTATGCACAGGGGGGTCAATTCCCGGGGCCGCCTGGGGCCCCTGAGACTCCACACCGGCTTTAAAATCGGTATTTCCATCCCTGCAAAAGAAATTCACATCGCCAGAATTTGGACGGGGCCGCAGGGGACCTGCAGGTGGCTTGGGTAGAGCTGACGTTCTAACCACAGGAAGCCCTCCAGTCCGTGAACGCAGGGCGTGCCCCCGTTGCCATGTCTCCTTTCAGCAAGGCTCTGTCCAGACCTTTTATCTTCCCGGGTAAGTCCATTTCCAAGGATTTTATTCTTTTTGATGCCATTGAAAATGGAACTGATTTCTTAATTTCCTTTCCAGCGTGTTTGCCACAAGCAGACGGAAATGAAGCTGGTCTCCGTGTTGACGCCGTGGCCTGCGACTCAGCTGACTTCACCTGTCGGTTCTGACAAGTTTTTTCGTGGAATCTTTAGGATTTTCTTTTTTTTTTAATTATTTATTTTAATTGGATTTTTTTTTTTCAAATGGAGGTGCTGGGGATTGAACCCAGGACCCTGTGCCTGCTAAGCACGCGCCCTGCCGCTGGGCTGCACCCTCCCACCTAGGGTTTTCTACATATCAGATCACATCATCTGTGAATAGAGGTCATGTGGCTTCCTTTCCTGGTTGGATGCTTCCTGGGCCCACTCTCTGGGACAGCCCACACTGCTCGTTCCACACAGAGAGCCCTCCTTGTCCCGTTTACAAAACTGTGACCCTGCGGAGGAAACGTACATCCTAACTTTATTCAGGAAAAAGGCACCTGGCTCCACTGTGAACTTCCCGCCACCACTGACGGCTGTCTGCCACCCCTGGAGCCACGGTCACCCCTGGGTCCTGGTGCTGGGCTGTCCAGCCCCAGGCTTTCCTGCGGGGAGGTCACAGGGCCATTCTAGAAGTGCGGCCTCCGCAGTGTCCCATCTCGCCTTCAGACACCACGGTGGGCTGGCATCTGTGCTCTGAGGCTGCACCTCAGAAACCCCGGACCACCGTGGGGAGATAGTGGACAAGACTGCGTCCCCAGCTGCAGCCACAGGCTCTGGCTGTGACCTGCGTGCTGAGCTCTCCCTGGCTCCTCTCTGCCCGGTGGAGCCGAGCATAGCCAAGAGCCTCCTGTCACTGATCAGGAGAGCTGACCCCGGGCTGGCTGTGGGGCACAGTCCTCCATCCTCTGTCTTCTGTGTCTGCACTTGCAAAACAGGTCTTTCCAGCTCCAAGTGTTCACGTGGGAAGACTTAAATACTGCTTCAGTTGATTTGCTAGGCACAGGACCATTCAAGCTTATTATTTGTTCTAGAAATAAATCTATTTCTAAATAGATTTCTAAAGAGATTCCTAAAAATCCATTCTATTTTTGCAGTGCAAGGCGATTCACCCCTTTCAGGTGAGCCATCTGGCCTGTGGCACGTGCATCAAGCTGTGCGGTGACCAATCCCCTGGGGTATGAAATCTTCCCTCCAGCTCCTTTGTGGCCATTCCATCCCCCATGCTGGCCTTGAAGTTTCCAAGACAGGGACTCAGCTTACAACCCCTACAGTGTCCTTCTTTTCCAATGTAAGCCAATTCCGCTGTCCCCACCCCACTAAGTCTGGATATGCAATGCTTTTTAAAATAATCATTCAGTTCTAGGTATTTAAAAGTCCTTACCATGATCTTCTTTTTAGCTCATGAGCTACTTGGTCACAGTGCTTGTCTATAGACATTCCCCCAACGCTGTATGATATTTTCAAACACACAGCACCGTGAAGACAGATGCACCCACCACTTACCTTCTACAGTTAATGGCTTACTGCGCTAGTTCTTTCATCCATGCGCGCATCCATCCATGCATCCGTCTGCCCACCTCTCTGTCCATCCACTCTGCCCTCTCCCTTTTCCCTACAAGTCTCCCTTTCTTGTCTTAGGGGCTGATCACAGTCAGGGGTGCTCTTCCAGGACTGTGCCTGGTGAACGGGACACCAAGGAGAAAGTCCTGATGGGTGGATCCTTGGAGCTGCTGCCCGGCCACCACCCACCCACGGGCCTGCTGTGGGCTCAGGGCAGGGGTCTCAGGCAGCCCAAGGGCTCAGACGTTGCCTCCTAGGAGCAGGCCAGGGCTAAACTAGTCTTTAGACTGTGTGGGCTGCGGACAACCCAGGCCTACTGAGTTAACCCTTTGCTGCACAGGCTCAGAAGAGGGCTCTCTGAAGGTGACTCAGGCCAAGGCTTGAGGGGGGAGTGGAGAGAAGGGCTTAGGAAAAGCTGTGCCCTGGAAGGCTGGGACGCCGGGCAGGAGAGAGGTGGTAGGAGGGGGCAGATGGGTGGACCTCGGGCCTGGACGGGAGTGAGGGCGGGGCTCCGGCCGTGCCACAGCTACAGAGGGGTGTCCAGCTGACCGGCTCCTCCCTGCGTGCGGCTGGACACTGCCACTGCCAGGGCAGGTGTCTGGGAAGCGGCCCCCTGGCTGGAGGTTGACAGCACCCCCAGGAAGGAGACGCCTACATTGTTTTTGTGAACTGAAGTCTAGCTGATTCACAGGGTCGTGTTAGTGTCTGGTGTACAGCACAGCGAGTCAGTTACACGCGTGTATTCCTTTTCATATTCTTTTTCTAATTAGGTTATTGCAAGGTACTGAGTAGGGCTGGGTGCAGGGCCCTCGGCTGCGGCCTGCAGCTGAGCTTCGAGGCGGCGAGCAGGTGGGGACTGCTGCAGCCTGGGCTCCTCCACATCCTCCACCTCAGCTTCCCATGGGAGAGTGCCCACCCAGCTGCCCAGCCCCGGGCCCCATGGCCAGGCCCAGATGCACACGCGCCCCAAGCTCAGCTCAGGGTCCTCTGAGGCCCTCTCCTGGCCGACCCTCTCCTGGCCCAGCCATTCCCCCAGCGGAGCCCAAGGGCCACCTTCCCCTCCTCCCGCTGAGCCGGCCATCCAGCCCGTCCCCCTCCCTCGGACGGCCCCAGCCTCGCCCCAACGCCTGTTCACCTCGGGACAAGG